TGCAATTTTATGTGAATATCTAAGATCATTCCTGAAATTATACTACTGGCTTATTCTGCAAGGCATGTCAGGTGAGGTAACTTGCTGTCACTTGCCAAGTGACAATTGTATCTTCGGGTAAGGTTACTATCCGTGCAAAACAAATAGAGAGTCACCTCACCAGGAGGGACAATTTAACAACATGTGAAAATGGCATACAAGTAAGGGGTAGGTCACTCCGCATACCAATCTTGGGTCATATTTTTTGTCAGTGTGCCGCAGTCCTGTGTTTTAGGGTTTTATTGTCCTCAAAGGCAGATCAGAAGCCTAGCTTATTGTGATGTGGAAATCAACGGTCTATCACCGGCCGGCAAGAGTTGGAACCGGTGGGGAACATTGTTGGAGACCGACTATAGAGGATGATGAATAGACTTCTGTAGTTTGTTTTGTGTGAGTTGCAGTATTATTTGAGTTGAGGATACTAATGGGGTCTGATCAACTGCCTCTTTCTCTTGAGCCAACTCTAGACCCTTCATTTCTTTTTTTAGATCTGGTTTGAGTTCCTCTGGTATATTCAATTAGAAGATGTTTCTGAATATACAGTCAAACAACACGTAATGTTGTGAACAACTTCAATAACAGTTGTCCAGCAGTGCTCCCATTTTATTTACAACAATCCAATGCCTACGAGATTGTGCCGAACGTGTGCCGAAGGTATGCTGAAGGTGTTCCGATGGATGTGCCCAAGCTGTGGCGAATCTAATTTTGGCACAATGTGCTGAGTGACTTACCCCTTGCATACAAGCTTTTTGTAAACAAACCTTCTTATGCCCTCTCAGTTCTCGTCATCAGTGAAGCCATAATCCTCACTCAAATGATTTCCGCTCTCAAGGGCTCCCAATATCACGCATGATATTAGAATAAAAAAAATTGATTTTACAATCTTCTTTGATATTGCGAGCCTATTTACAATATGCGAAATTGTAGCTACGAGATGACTCAACACAAAAATGGTTACTTTGCCAAGGAATCAAAAATATCTCCAAATGACAAAATGTCAGAAGTGGAAAGCAATAATGATGTAAATAATCTTCTTTCTTTTTTTCATGACAAGCAGCCCGTGCGACACAGCTCACTCGGGGTGGTAGAAGGAAACGACCAAATTGTTGGCAAGCTGCTTCACGAAGTAAAGCAAGCCGAAAATGATACACGTGTGTTATTGGGATTTTTTTTGTTAAGGGAAAACTTGGCTTCGGCAATACCTTAACCTATTATCGTCAGGGGTTAAACAACGTCCTTGATAGCTCAATTTTGGCATGTGGATACATTGTGTTGCAGAGCAACTATTGGCCAATTTTGAGTGCTCTAGGACTTTGTTTACCCCCTGACGATAGTAGGTTAAGGTATTGCCGAAGCCAACTTTTCCCCTATGTCTTTTCTCGATTCATATCAAGCCATGTCCTCATCCGTGTATATTGCAACAAAGCAGGCAAGCAATATATCATTATCCTTCTACCACTCCGATCGATGTGTATTACATAGCGAGTTTGTCATGGTAGTCGTAGCAACTGTTTTGGCTGTATCGTTGGTTGCTTTATGTGTTTGGATTCACTGTCCTTTGCACATCGTTTTCTTAGAAAGAAAAACCAGTGTTTGCTATCTCTCTTTACTCTTCACCGATGGCAGACACGAAGCTACTGCAGCGATGGAAGTTTTGGTTCTTGTTCGGATGTTCAGTAAAAATTTTGAAGCTGGAACTCACCACAGTTTGATGATAATTGCAGCTGGTGATATCTGAGCTACCGTATCACAGCTTGTAATATCATCCGCTGTTGGTTGGTTGTAGATTTTTGTTTACGATAATCAAATGAGATTATTGTTCATTTGTGAGATTTCATCTTTTGATATTTTCCCAATACTGCCCGTCATTACATTTCGTTTGCTATTTTACACAAAATGACATGAGCTTTTTGCAATCTAAAATGCTGTGTAGTTAAAAAGTGGGTTTGAATTTTTCGAAAACGCATAAATTGCGCCTTAAAAGGGTTTTGACGTAGGACTACGTCTGTGATTTCTATATGGGGGTACACTTTGTGAAAACCAAAAATGGAACTTGTAACACAATTATGAAAGATTTTGAACGTTATTAACTCAGCTGCCCCTGGTCTAATTTCAATAATTTTATCACCAATCCATCAGAAATATTTCTACGCATCTGTTAAATTTAAAATTTTATCATTTTTGAAAATGAAACTATTGAAAATTGCACGAATGTGCAATTGCTGCTATGATAATTAAAATTATGACCGATTGCCTGCGAAAAGCAATTTCCCTAACACAGATTTCAAACTTGAATTCAATCCAGTCTCCGGAATCACCGCGTGGAGAGTGGTGGTGTTCTCCAGTACAAAACGAAAGGCTGCCTGCAAAAAGTGAGTTGCAGCCCACATGAGCATCCATAGAAGGAGGCTGAAGCCACACCACTATTGATCGGAATCAGCTCTTCGTGAGTTTCTGTGAGCCATTTATGTCAAGTGCGTCATACTAAAGAGTATAAGCAGAGAGAACCTCGCTCAAATTCCTATTCCTATGTAAAACACAAGCTTTTGCTGCAGTTAATAAATAAGATTTAGTATATAAGACCACGTAGTCCTACGTCACCATTGCGCACAACCCCATAGGGCTGTCCTTTGTAGTTTTTTCCAACTAAAATTTACTGCCGACATTCAGTTAGATGATCAAAGAAGAAATAAATAAATAAATATAATCGAGGAAGCTTCAAGGATTTTTAGTGTAATCATACTCAATTTTGAGAAAATCTTATCGGCCGTGTATGGCGTCTAACAATGTAAAAACCACGCCATCCACAGTAAACCACATCACTATCGGCTCATCCCTCTGTTCTCTCGATAACAAACACGTGATTGGTTTATTACGATCAAAAGTTTTAAAGATTTTGCAAATAATATACTGCTGTATTCTTTATTATCTTACGTCAAATCTGAATCAAACGGTGTGTTACGAATTGAAATCCATCCATAAATGGCCGAGTTATAAGCGTTTCAGACCTGACACTATTTCACAACACTTTTTTTTTTTTTTGATTTTATCCCCAAAACCGCCTCGTTTTACGGTATTGCATCTTTTGATGAACAAATTTCTTTGTTCTAGGACCACATTATGCAACCAAGACGAATCGACTTGGCCATACAAGCATTCAAACAAAAAACGCTTCGTTTCTACTTCCCCAATGAGGCCCCCGTTCTTCTTAGAAATATGAATGTAATGTAAATTCGCGTATAAATTATATGTTTTAGTTTGATATTTGTTGATATTTTCATTTTAAAATTAATTGCGCCATACATTCTCAACTTTATTTTCTACACCCAACCAAAGGATGTAAGATTTGCGATAAACCGAGCCGCGGTACAATGCAAGAAAATGGATAACATGTGGAGTGTAGTAGTGAGTAACATGAATCATGTAAAAAAATGATCAAATGCTCTCGAACCACGACCATTGCGGTTAGCATACCTGTGCTTTCTCCACTGCTCTTTTCATGTATCGGAATATGGATAGGCTAATAGCGAATAAGAAGCGCTCATTTCCTCTCATACTCGACTTCGTGTGTTTTTTTCTGCTGAACGGGAATTGGAGAGAGTAGTGGCAAGTGTGTGCGTCGTTGCACAATGTTATAAAAAAAGCTTGCTAGAATAGCAGGGTTACTTCCACTCACTTGCTATAAAAAAATGTTTTTCGGAATTATGAAATCATGATATAGTATAATGCTAATGAGTACTTGTAAGTTACAAGAGGAGGTCATGAAGTATATGTTTGACACATAAAATCTGTCAAAATTGCTTTCAGTGCGCCACAATCAGCGATTTTACGACTCGTGAGCGCTCACTCTGAGTGAACGCTCACGAATCATAAAATCGCTAATTGTGACGCTCTGAAAGCGAAATTGACAAGCTTTATTAGTCAAATACATACTTTACTACCTCTTCTTGTTACTTACAAGTATAACATAGCATTATTGCATCTAATGATTGCATAATTCAGAATAATATTTATTTATAGCAAGTGAGTGGAAGCAACCCTGTAGAATAGTCGAAAGCGTAGACTGAACACGAAATAAAAAAGATAAAAAATCATAAAATCGTCTGCAAGGTCAACTTATACCATTCGTTACGGTATTCGCTGTGGAGAATGATAGGAAATGCAAATGTCATACATTTTTAGTGTGCGTGCATCAACCCATATGTTTTTAAGTGACTCTACCTCCAATGGTAAGCGCTGTCAGAAGCAATGCAAAGTAACCTATTGGGTTCTTTAATTTTGAAAAATACATCGGTTTAATAACGGTATTGTTTTCGAACTCACGTTCATCTCAATTTTTAAATCAAGATCAAAAGCAAAACAATAACTTCACTATTTGACACTAAAGTAACAAATTGACAGTCCACTCCCATACAAATTCCCATCGATGGGCACTAAGATGGTGATTTTTGCTAATCAAATCGCAATTATTTGAAATAGTTCCAGTGCACCAAATTTGAGGAAATTTTGGATTTCGATTCCATTTTTAATGCAGATTACGAATATGCATTTACCTCAATATCCTTAGAGAACCCAATTGGTATTGCTTTGGTTAGGATTATCTAAGCCAAAAATCGGGAAATTCAACAGTCTGTAACAACTGAATGGGTCGTTTCGATCACTCTAAAAAGACACTCTCGTTTTAGTCTCAAGACAATATTGTGTTCCTCCTATCCATTAGGTTTTATGTACCATGTGGGATATCACCATTTAATCTAGTATGGCACTGTTTCCTACAGGCATCCAATTCAAAAGAATATAGACATAGATACATTTATGACTGATAATTGGCTTCTGAAGTGTGTGCTATCGAGCAGTTATTATAATGATTATAGTATGCTTACCGAGGGGAACAAAATTAATTAATTCATACATTCAAACATTTCTGTGCCCCACCGATTAAGCAGTATCTCTGAACTCACCTCGTTATTGCTTAATTACGTTCGCCGAAGGAACCCTTTTCCACCGTAAATAATCCTTCTAATAGCCCGAACATATATATACCAGCGGACAACACCTCATTTTCATTCTCATTCACACATCCCACATCCAAACTTTGTCGGGTGATGCTTCTGCATTGTTCGCCTCCCTCACAAATTCTCGGTTATCCTTTTTTGCGAGAACTGACGAGCACAAATTCCAACATAAAAGCAACTCAGCTTAGGATTCTACGCCTCACGCGTTACCATCAGCCCTGTCAACCCTAGCGAGAAGGTGGCTCACTTTTATCTCGCATTCGCCGAAAGCTTTTCGCTCCGTTTTCCATTAAGCATCGTGGTAAAATTCTTATTATTCCGTTTTCTCCTAATTGTAAGACACTCTTAACAACATATACACCGATGAAGCAGCATAGCTCATCAGGCGGAAAAATTATTTGCCACCTCCTTCACTCGCTTCGCTTTGTTCACTTCTCGGAGCTCCCGGGACGTAAAAAAGAAACTGTTGCTTCACAGTCGGCTTTTCATGTATCACTTTTTTATCACTGCTTTTGCCGTTACAAACCACCCTCTACAGGGATTCAACAACGCACTCAAAATTGCGTACAAAATTTATTCCTCCCCGATTTTCGATTCAAAACAATTTCATCACTCGACTCATAAATTTTCACTCAAGAAAGCTTTCAAATCCCACGAGCGAAAATAAACAACCTCGATAAGAATTTCACTTTCATTTTCTCCTTCCACTGGGATACATCTGAATCACTCCTCCCTTCTGCAATCGTGGCCCAGCCTGGAATCAATTGATTTTCCGCACCTTTCGTTTCCCTCTTCTCTGTTTATGTACGACATCATGCGTTATGGGAAAGTTCCATCGTGAACAGACTCACTTGCGTTCCTCGAAAAACGATTTAATTCTTGTATCCGACTCACATTCGCACCACAGGATACTGGATGCTGCTTTTCCGACCGACCGACTCTCACGACCGTAGACTGATAACTGAACTCCAAACGCGGTTGGTCCAGGAGCATCCAGCATCTTCGCGGGAACCATCGCAAGTGTAAATGTATATGCTATGCTAGAAGTGACGTAGCTAGGGGCAGGTGAGAGAATGTGAAAGTGAAGTGAGGTATGTATAAGTGGAGCAGCACCCTACGTATTTGAAGATTAGAAAAATGGTGGCATATTATCGCAACTGGTTCCAGACACCAGAAAATAAATTAATTGTAAAGCAGTTTAGGGATGGCATATACTCCGAAATACTCCGAACATCCCTGAAAATAGTGGCGCCGGTGGTGTAGTAGTAAGCGTGATTACATCTCACCCCAAAAGGCCTGGGTTCAATCCCAGTCTTTGCCACCGGGATTTTCTGAGGCATAACATCTCTGATCATGCCTTCCTTCGGAAGGGAAGTAAAGCCGTTGGTACCCGGCTCATGAGTTGATGGGTCGATAGGTAGGGTCCAGGTGTGGAAGCTGCCTCCCTGGCGTCGGCAACATTGGTGCTCAGCACGGAAAACAAGATCGACGAAAAACAAATCAAGAGAAAAAAAATCCCTGAAAATAATAAAACTGTAGTTCTCATGGCTTCCCTCAAAATTCCTGGAACTTCTTATACTTTCTCAAAACTATCCTGAAACTCATGGTGCTGTCCTGAATTTATATAATTTAACATTTTCAGATCTTAGTACTACCACTACTTAGTATCCTTTCCTAATAACTACAGATCTTTAAACTTTCCCGAAAATCTGAACTTAAAATATTAAGATATCTGGCCTTCCCTGGTGATCTCTAGAGCTAGATTTCTTCCAAGTTTCTTAAATTGTCCTAAAGTTGTGCAGACTTCTGAGATTATATCTTGACTTCTCGAAAGTTTTTTTCTGGGTAGCCCTGAAGTCATAGAACTCCTTAAAAGTTACAGCAGATTTAGCATTTCAATTGATTACCTATCTTTGTTTTTTTTTTAATAATACTCTCCATTCTTTTCATGTCTGAATTCCAACCAGGAGGTGCATCTCAGAGTTTCGAGTCCACGGGGACAGTTTAAGATCATCATAAAGATCTTGTTCTGGACAGTGCTGTTAATTTTCATATCATTCGACTGAAGATTAACCAATACAATCATTCAATCAATTCTGTGAAAACGAATTCTCACATGCCCATGATTTGAAGAGCCTCTTTCTCATTCTAACCTCATCGTCACTGTCAATTGAGTAACTCACTATCAGTGCTGAAATTTGTCATTGACAATTTTTGCACGATATTGACAAAAAAGAATTTCACATAGTCACTGACCGACTTGATCTTCAAAAAGAAAAACCTTGGTAAAAATCTCTTTCATTTCTTCGTCAATGACAAAGATTCACCTGGTAACAAAAAGTGTAATTTCGTGCATTCTGTGTCACAAGTAGTTCAGGACGTAGATACTTGTTCACTTTAACGGCTCCATGTAATTGTGTTGTTCAAGTCATTTAATTTCGTTGCAAATTTAGTTAATACAAAAATCTACACACTTAGAAATAATGAATTTTACACGTGACGAAATCCATCTATGACATAAAAGATGAGACGTAAACAAACATGTCATGTAATATTAAGTGCTCCGAGATTGAAAAGTTTGTTGCTCGACGAAAAGTACGTTTGATTGAGCTATATTTCACGTCTGTTATGACTTAAATTTATGTCAACATTGACGCTCGTATATGTCACTCTCAGAGCACCTAAATTTAAATGCATTTTTCTAAGTGTGTACACATGTTCGTCACTGACAGCATTGTCATTGACAATTGACATGCACACGTAAATTTAAGTGCTCTGAGAGTGACACATACAAGCGTCAATTTTGACATAAATTAAGTCATAACAGACGCGAAATGTAGCTCAATCAGACGTATTTTTCGTCGCGCAACGAACTATTTGATATACGACAGTGGAGTATGCAAAAAACCTAGCAAAATGGTGCTGAACAGACAAGTCGACCCGATGTTGGATCAATGAAAGGCAAATTTAAGGTCGATGTCGACCCAATGTCAGGTTGATCTATGTTAAATTTTGGGTTTATGTCGAGTAAATGTCGTGTCAACATCGGATTGGGGTTTGGTAGAAGTCATGTTGGTGTCGGGTTGGCTTAGCTTTTTCGTCGGAATGTCAACTCGAGCTCCGTTTATGTGTAGGTTACACTCAATTGAATGATATCAAGCGTTTCTATGCCGGCGCTGGTGGTGTAGTGGTAAGCGTGACTGCTTTCTCACACCCCAATGGGTCTGGGTTCAATCCCAGCCGAGGTCGGCCGTTGGTCCCAGCCCCTGTGTGTTGATGAATGGGTGCGATATCCTACGCAGGTGTGGAAGCTGTCCGTCGGTGATTGGCACTAGATTACGGAACAGAGACCGACGTTAAATAAAGGAATGAAGAAGAAGAAGAAGAAGAAGAAGAAGCGTTTCTCAAATGAGAATGATCCATGCCTTCATTAAATGACTAAGGAAATGATATCACCCATTCGAAGAAGGTCCCCTTAGATAGCGGATAGCTGCTTTTCTCATTTTCATCCAAAATGTTCAATTGATTTTGATTTTAAGATGATGGCATTAGGAACAACTCCCCCCGATTAGCATACCGGGCATAACATACTCAATGACAGATTAGTTTCTTACCAACAATCAATACGAAACTAACCATTTTAAATTGGCTCACTACTTGACCAGCCTATTGGTCCCAAGCAAATCGATTAACGTACTCCATTCTAGTCGAAATTCTACTACTACACAATGTTTGTTTTGATTCGCTATGAAAGTTTGGCAGATAAAATGATGATGGATTAGCTTGGGACCGAAGATAAAGGGTGATACGGTCAAAATTTGGTCAATATCAACTTGACGTATTTCTTTCAATTTTGCATTTAAAAAACCTGAACACCCCTCATTTTGAAGGTGTGTGTGTGTAGAATGTTGCTCCTATTTTGATTTTGGAATTCACTCTTCAGTTGTCAAAATGCCGTCCAAGCAAGAAGAGCAGCGTATCAAAATTTTGCTCGCGCATCGCGAAAATCCGAGCTACTCGCACGCAAAGTTGGCAAAATCGCTAAAAGTTGCCAAATCAACCGTTACAAATGTAATTAAAGTGTTTGAAGAACGTTTGTCGACTGCCAGGAAGTGTGGATCGGGGGGAAATCGAAAACCGGAAGCCGCTGAGACGACAAAGAGAGTTGCCGGTAGTTTCAAGCGAAACCCTAACCTCTCTCTCCGAGATGCCGCAAATAAGCTGGGTGTATCGTCTACAACCGTGCATCGAGTCAAAAAACGAGCCGGACTATCGACTTACAAGAAGGTAGTGACTCCAAATCGCGATGATAAACAAAATACGACGGCCAAAGCGCGATCCCGGAGGCTGTACACGACGATGCTGACGAAGTTTGACTGCGTGGTAATGGACGACGAAACCTACGTCAAAGCCGACTACAAGCAGCTTCCGGGACAGGAGTTTTATACGGCAAAAGGAAGGGGAAAGGTAGCAGATGTTTTCAAGCACATGAAACTGTCAAAGTTCGCAAAGAAATATCTGGTTTGGCAAGCCATCTGTACCTGTGGCTTGAAAAGCAGCATTTTCATAGCTTCCGGGACTGTCAACCAAGAAATTTACGTGAAAGAGTGTTTGAATAAACGTCTGCTGCCTTTCCTGAAGAAACACGGTTGTTCTGTACTGTTTTGGCCGGATTTGGCATCTTGCCATTACGGTAAAAAGGCCATGGAGTGGTACGCCGCCAACAACGTGCAGGTGGTTCCCAAGGACAAGAACCCTCCCAACACGCCAGAGCTCCGCCCAATTGAGAAATACTGGGCTATTGTCAAGCGGAACCTAAAGAAGACCAAAAAAACTGCTAAGGGCGAGCAGCAGTTCAAGGCAAACTGGCTTTCTGCGGCGAAGAAGGTGGACAAGGTGGCTGTACAAAATCTGATGGCAGGGGTCAAGCGTAAGGCCCGGCAATTTGGATTTGGAAAAGCGGAAGCCTAACTGAATATTTTTCCTGAATTTTATACTAATTGAACTTGAAAAATTTTTTGAATTCACCGATTTACACGCGTTTTCCCTTGACCAAATTTTGACCGTATCACCCTTTAGTACCAGAGCTGAGCCAAAAAGTTGAGCACATTTCTTCGGAACCTTCCGGTCTTAGAGTTACCTCTATGGTGTTACGGAGTCTAATGAGGTCTTTAGTAGA